TTTTTTTTTTTTTGAACGATTTTTTTTTTGGTAGAATTTTTTTTTTTGAACGATTTACAATAGAGGAAGGGAATTCGAAGATCGCCAGCTCACGAGGTTCAAACAAATACTTAAAATTAAATATATTGTCCATATTCTTACTATAAAAATAACACAAGATACAAGGGGCCAAAAGATAGATGCTGAGACCCGGAAGGTTTGAAAGCACTCAAACTACTAGGATTTGTTTCTTTTTTGGCTCCATTGCAGAACCCTCTCTTTTTCTTGCCATCTTCATCTCTCTTACCTGAAATAGAGGATGCAGTGTTACCAGAGAAGTTTAATGTGCACCAACACATTGTGAATCTCTCTTTCTTCAATGTACTAAGGATGCCTTCTTCCCGTTGGGGGTATTTTGAAATTTCTCTGCTCAGAGAGAGGGATCAAAATCCATTAATTTGTTTCTTATTTTCTTCACTGTTTGAATAGACCCACAAGAAAGAACAAAGGGAAGCGCTTTTTGTTTTGGGGCTTTTATAAATTCATCTTCCACCTCTGTTTTAGCTGTTTTCTGTTTATCAGATCTGTGCTTCTGTTTCGACTGTTTTACCTTTCTGTTTGGTGTTTTTGAGTAGAAGAAATGAGTAAAGAAGAGATTATGAAGATCCGGGTACACACCTGCCTCCTACTTTCTGGCTAATTTGCTCAAGTTCTTTGCTTCGTTGCAACTCAATGTTGTTGTGCCTATTGTTTCCTTTTTATTTTTTCAAGCAAGCTTGGTAAATTTTGGTTTTCCCCCTTTTTGAATGAATCCTCTGTTTACTCTGGTTTTGTTCTTTGGCTTGCTTGCTCATGCAGACTTGTTTCCTCAAAGTGAACATACACTGTGATGGATGTAGGATGAAAGTGAAGAAAATCTTGCAGAGAATCGATGGTATCCTCCATTTCTCTCACCCCATTCCCCCACTCCCAAAAAAATCTATATTCTCTAGACACTGTTGTTTTTCTCTTCCTAGATTTGTAGGTCTCTTCATTTTCTTAATTTCTGCAAATATACCTCCGTTTTTAGCTTCTGGGTTTTGATTTTCGGGGTTTTCATATCTCCAGGGGTTTTGACAACCTCCATAGATGCGGAGCAAGGGAAGGTAAAAGTTACAGGCAACGTAGACCCTGATGAGCTCATCAAAAAGCTTGCAAAATCAGGTAAACATGCAGAGCTCTGGGGTGTCCAGAAGCCTAACAACAACCAAAACCATAACCACTTAGCCAATCAAATGAAGAACATGCAGATTGAGAGTGGAAAAGGTGGGAACAATAGCAGCAACAACAAGGGCCAGAAGGGCAACAATAACAACAACAACAATCAGAATAATCAGCCTAAAGGAGGGCACCAGCTGACCCCCCAACAGGTTCAGCAATTACAGCAGATGAAAGGGTTACAAGATCTGAAGCTGCCCCAATTGAAGGACATGAAGATGCCTGTTTTCAACCAGAACAACAACCAGAAGGCAGTCAAGTTTAACCTGCCTGAAGAAGATGACTTGAATGATGATGAGTGTGATGACTGGGATGGTGATGGTGATGTAGATGATGGTAATGTAGATTATGATGAGGATGATGATGAACTGGATGACCCCCATATGCCTCTCAACAAGACGAAAGCCATGATGAATGTGCTTCAAGCGGGGAACATGATGATGTCGAATGGGATGATGAATGGTAATCATCCCCAGTTCATGAATGCCCAGAAGGGCGGTGCTAATGGCGGTGCAAACGGTGGAGGCAATGGGAAGAAAGGAGGTAATGGTAGCGGTGGCGGCGGTGGGAATGCTGTGCCTGTTCATGTCGTCGGTGGAAGTGGGAATAGTGAGGGTAAAAATGGAAATGGAGGTAAAAAGGGAGGTGGTGGAGGTAACAATGGAGGGAATCAAAATCAAAGTGGGGGTAAAAACGGTGGTAAAAGTGGCGGTGGGTTACCACAAGATGCCAAAAGTGGTAATAACAGTGGTGGTGGTGGGTCTCATAAGAATGGTGGCGGTAATAATCATGACGGTGGTAACGGCGGCAATGGAGGCAAAAAGGGGAATAATGGTGCTCCAAATGGGAATGATGGCTTCCACAGCAGCGTAGGTGGCCCTAATGGCAACATGAGACAGATGGCTAACGTGAACATTCCCATGGGCCAACGGGGTAACATGCCTATGGGACAAACGGGTAATATGCTTATGAGCCAAATGGGACAATTAGGCAACATCTCAGCAGTCCAAGGGCTACCAGCAACCGCCACGAATGGCGGCGGTGGCGGTGGGTACTTCCAAGGAGCCGGGCCGGATCTCATGCCCGGCAACCCATACCATCAACAGCAGCAACAGCAACAGCACATGGCAGCAATCGTGAACCAGCAACGTTCATTGGGGAATGAAAGGTTCCAGCCCATGATGTATGCCAGGCCGCCTCCTGCGGTCAATTACATGCCCCCATATCCTTACCCTTATCATTATCTTCCCCCACCCGATCCGTATACCGACGTCTTCAGTGATGAGAACACTTCAAGCTGCAATGTGATGTGAAAATTGGATAAGGTCCGCCGGCGGCAATTGTTCCAATGTCTCAGCGTAGAAGGTTGAACCATACTATACTTGGAAATGAGAGTTTTATTTTCCTTATTTTCCTTATTTTCCTTCTACTCACGCATTTCATCCTGAATGAATTAGAGTTTTTAATTATTCAGTAATATAGATAATCATATTAAAAAAAAAAGAAAAAAAAAAAGAGAAAAGATCTAGAGGAATGAGGGAGATGGATGATGAGAGAATGTAAGTGGGAATCACTGGTTGGTTTTTTTCCCCCTCTTTTTATGAGAATGTACATATGTTGTTTATAATGGTGGTAAACAAATAAGATTAAAAAGAGTTGGAGAGTGGCTTTACAATCCTAAAAAACCCTCCTACCGACTACTCCCTTCATCATCTCCTTATTAACTTTTCTTTGGTTCATTCAAATGCTCATATATAGGTATGAGGGATAAAGAGTTGGAAGCTTTATTTTCAACTGATATCTTCTACCAAAAAAAAAAAAAAAAA